GGGGACAGAACTGTGGGGACAGGGACAGGCCATGGGGACAGAACTGTGGGGACAGGGACAGGCCATGGGGACAGAACTGTGGGGACAGAGCCGCAGGGCCTGGAACGCCGGGCAGGACAGGGACAGGGCCAGAGCAGCTGCCACCACGTGGCTCAGCGAGGCCACCGCGCGGAACCGAGGTCCCTGTGCCCCAGGCAGGGTGACCCTGCATCGATCCCACAGGGACAGGGACACTCCGCCAGCTGCCGCACGTGGCCTTTATTCAGACGATGATGGCGGAGCCGCTGTGGGCGGTGGGCACCGGCGGGGGGTCCCCGGCAGAGGTGAAGTACCCGATGAGCGCCCGCACCCCAGCCTTGAGCCCCGGCTGCAGCCCCATCTGCACCCCCACGGCCACGGGGCCGCCGAGGCTCCCGGTGAGCGCGGCCAGCCCGGCGTAGCCCAGGTCCTCGGTGGCCTCCAGCGCCCGCGACGAGGCCACGGCCCCGCAGCCCTGGAAGGCGAAGTAGATGCTGGTGCCCAGGTTGTAGAAGATGCTGACGCCCGGCACCCACTCCAGCACCCGGTGGGCTTCCTGCTCCCCCGGCGGGTTGCAGGCGTCCTCAGCTTCACCCTCGTCCTCCCGCCGGCGCCGGGACAGGCGGTGGCACAGGGACAGCCGGGCCCTGGGGACCCTCCCCGCCGAGGGTGCCGTGGGCTGGGCGCTGGGTGCAGGAGTCCGGAGCGGGGTGGGATCCGCACGGGCAGAGCCCCCCGGCCGCGCCAGGCTGAGGAGGAGCAGGGACAGGGGCTGGGGGGCCGGGGCTCCCCGCACCCGCGCCAGCCCCCGCAGCAGCGCCGCGGCCGTGGGGGTGCCCAGCTCCCGTGCCAGCCCCAGCGCCTCGGCCTCGGCCTCGGCCTCGCAGCCGGCCCCGTTCAGCGCCAGCACCAGCGCGGCGCGGGCCAGGGCGTGGGGCTCCGGCGGCAGCCGGGCAAAGCCGGGCAGGGCGTTGGGGCCCAGGTCGTGGCAGGGGACCCCCCGTGCCTGCGGCGGGACGGGACCCGCCAGCTCTGCCAGCAGTGCCTGCACCAGCACCCGGTCACCGGCACCCAGCCCGGAGTCCACCTTGTCAGAGAGAGCGACAGCGGGGCCGAGGAAGAGGAGTGGGAGGAAGAGCAGAACCCAGGGCATGGCGGCAGCTCCGGGACTGGCTGTGGAGGCGGGAGAAGGGCAGAGCCCCGTCAGCCCCCTGCGGCCACAGCCCCCCGTGACCCCCCAGTGTCCCCAGCTCACCCACTCGCTGCTGTCACTGTTCCTTGCCCTGGCCAGATGCCACTGTCCTTTGCCCCGTGTGGCCCCTTTATAGCCACTGTTATCAGGGGGTTGCGACACGCGGGGCCCGGTGCAGGGACAAGGACCAGGGACGGGGCACTCCCTGTGGCCAGAGCAGCTCGACCCCTGTGGCCAGAGCGGCTTGACCCCCCCAGCTCCAGCTCCCTCCAGCCCCACACACCAAGGAAGGGCAAGAATCACGTTTGTTTATTTGGGCCCTATCCAGATTTAAAAGGTTTAAAAGGAAAACAAACCCAAACAGATGAGAAAAACGGGAGTTTGGGGCAAAACAGGGAGATGAAGACACCAGGGGAAGGGGATGGGGGGGCAGCAACTGGCTGCTTGTGCAGCCCTTAAAAACAGGATCAAAACCTGCAGAAAACCTGCAGAAACCCCAGGAAACAGCCCAGGGCCTGGGCCTGGCACACAGGGGAAGCCCCTCAACCCTCCTCCTCCTCCTCCTCCTCCTCCTCCAGGCAGCGGACGCGCTTCCGCCTTCCCCGGGGCTGTGGGTCCTCGTCCTCCTCATCCTCCTCGGAGCAGGGGGCTGCAGGGGCCAGCCCGGGACCTGTGGGTGGAGGAAGAGGGGAGGGAGCTGAGCCCCCAGCCAGGGGGTGAGGGGAGTGGGGGTACACCCCTGTCCCTCCACCACCTCCCCAGCCCAAGGGATGGGGCAAAGGGGCTGGGGACAGGACAAACACGACCCAGCAGTGCCCTGTGCCCAGCTCCTGGTGACACCCAGAGCCCCCTCAGCCCCACAGGAGAGAGCAGAGGGGCTGAACTCACCTGAGCTCCCGCCGTCCTCATCCTCACTGTCGAGCTCCCGGCGCCTCTTGGTGCCCGACTGCACCGGGCTGGGGACGGGGACGGGGACCGGCTCCTCGCTGCAGCCACGGGGACAGGGGTTGGCACCGCTCAGCCCCACACTGGGAGAGCACAGGGGGCCAAATCCCCTCCCCAGGCAGGGGGAAGACCCCTCAAATCAGGAAGAAGAGACCCCCAGCTCGGGGACAGGATCCTGATCTCACCTCTCCGAGTCCGATCCCAGCTCTGCCGGCAGCTGTTCTGCTGAGGGGCACAAGGAGAGGGGCTCGGGGCCGTCCCCACTGGTGGGGGTCCCACACCCCCAGCCCGGCCCCTCACCTGGACCTGGGTCCCGGGGGCACTGGGGTGGCTCTGGCAGGTCCCGGGGGGACCCTGAGGGGTCGGGGCCATGGTGGGCGACGGAGGCGGCCGCGCGACGGAGCTGCTGCGGGGTGAGGGCAGCTGGGATGCGCCAGAAGGATTCCTGGGAAGAGAGGGGAGATGCTGCAGGGCTGTGCCAGGAGCGAGGGGACAGGGGTGGGCACAGGGAGCTCACCTGCTCGCTGGCCGGGGGCCGCAGCCCCAGCTGCCGCAGCAGGCTCTGGAAGCGCCGATCCTCCATGGCATCCTCGTTCTCCTCCGTCAGCGGCACCAGCGGCACCGGGTGGGACACGCCTGGGCCGAGAGCACTGTCAGGGGGACCCCCCGGGCCCGCGGTCCCCCTGCCCCCCCCCCCGTCCTCCTCAAAGTCCCCCCGA